TTTCGCTTGGGGAATATCAGTTAAAGCAAAGGTTCGTCAACGCATGTGCAATTATAGATACGACGGGTACATGTGTACCATGATCATCTGATGAAACAAGATTCTTGGAAGCCAAACGGTCACGCACTGCATATTCTTCATGATGGGTGCTTGGCCGGCAGCCGAGCGCCGCTTTTCAGAGGTCTTCCTCGAGTTGCATCCCAAGCAGGGGCCCCAAAGCGGAGATCACACCACCTTTGGCATGAATATGATTGTTTTTTTACGGTGCATGGTTTGATTTTTTGTGTTTTTGTTTTATCACTAACCTTGTCGAGGACTTCATTCTGAATTCTTTGGGGTTCCCTCGATGAAATTACTGATTTGTCACTTGAAATGACTCGTCAGACAGCGGCCGAGCCCGAAGAAACTCCGGAGGCCACGTGACGCGCCGTTCGCGCCATTCCGCGCCGTTTCGTTGGGACGCGGCCGCGACGGACGCGGCCAGGAAGGCGAAGAAGACCTTGCCCCAGGCGGATTGTTTCGACGCAGCAAGCACCAAACGCTGGTTGAGTTTTGTTGGAAGCGATTGGAAAATTTGGCATTTGGCCATGCATGTTGCCTTTCTGTTGCTTTACACTTGACTTCTTGACTTGCTAAAGACTGCCTTCCAGGAGATGGCCCCATTGTCGCACACCCCAGAGATGTGTTTGCTGGTCTTCCCCGTCCGTGCACGTCCAACTCGTTCCCGTCGCTGAGGACTTGGCAGCTCTGGAGGCCAAGAGGGACGAAGCACGGAGGCCGGGACTGAAGCACGGCTCGCGCATTGTTGGACAGTGGCAGCTGGTGACCTTCCCAAGGTATTCACGGTCTTTTCATGTTCTTTTGAAATGGCTTTTCCAGGGGGCCATGCCATACTTCCGCTGAGTGTTGGAAGTCGGGCGCGCGTTCGCTGGGATGTGTCCCAGGTTGAGGGCGCAGGCGGAAGAGGCCGATGAAATTTTCAAGGCACGACCGGGTGTACAGGTCGTTCCGGCTTCATTCGGCATTGGTTCAACGAACAGGTTCGGCGCGGTGAGATGGGGTGCCCCGGCTGAGGATGAATGTGTTTGTGTTTGTGTGGACGGGGGTGGACATGAAACCCATACAATTACACCAGCATAGACCCCAAACAGCTTCAAGATAGAACCCCTACTTGGGTGCAAAATCTTGGGATTCAGTGTCTCAAACCGAGGTGAGCTTGCTCCATGTTTCGACAGGTCTATGACGACATGGACGTTGCTGACAAGGACGAGCCGTCGAGCCAGTCGTCGAGCCGGTCCGGATGGGCGATCTGCAGCGGTTTCGAAATTGACTGAGGAGATCGAAAGGCTCTTAGAGGAGATCGAGAAGGCGACGGTTTTATCATCGTAAACGATTTGTTTTTTTGGTCATGATGCGTTTTTTTGATGAGTTGGAAACTCAGTTCTAGGCGTGCTTGCTCTTGGGATCGGTATAATGTCCTTTGTGCCCTGCAGTGGGCAACTTTTGGGACCTTGTTGGATCTCCTTTCAGCAAAGAGCCAGAGGTTGTTGATCCCACGTTTCTCCCAATCACATCATTCTCAATCGGGAAACGGAGCGAGATCAAGAAAATGATGCAACTCGCTAATGTCACAAGCGGGCCTTTTGTGTCCTTTTGTCAACGAAGACACCGGTTTGAAGTCCATGTTGCTATAGCGAAGCTCCGTTCTTGGATTTGGTCCTGGCCGGACCGGCTTTCCGAACTTCTGGGATTCAAAAAGATCTTCCAAACACCAATCAGAAGCCTGGAAACAACTGAAACAACCTAAAACAACCAGATCTATCCCAGGACCTTTCCAAGTCGAACTTGAGATCTCAGAAAATCAACAGGATAGACTCTACCAGGGAGGTCAACCTACCACCCACACCCATTTTGAGCGCCCACTCCCACCTGTTCCCCGACCACAACTCGCGGCGCGCTAGACCTGCCTTCGCGCCAGGCCAAGGCGGAGGCCAAAGCCGCTGAGGCGCAGCAAGGCACTTGGGCCAAGGGAAGTCCGAGGGTTTCCTTGGTTAGAATTGTTGTGGATTTTTTATTTTGTTGTGATAAGACAAGATAAAACACTTATCTACACTAGCTTATATACACTTATATACAAACTAATTATACCTCACACGCGCTTGATGCGTTTGAAACACCCAACCCAAAGATCCGAGTTCTTCGAAAAGAGAGCTAGCTTTCGTGGGTCGCCAGGTGAACCGGAGCCGGTTCCGCCGACCTCACCGCGGCGGAACAGCCATGTGGAGCAGCCATGGCGGCGCAGCTCGCAGATCGAGGAGCAACGATAGGTCGTGAGAGAAGGAGAGGAAAGAAGGTGATAGAACATGAACTAACTAGAAAATGAGCTGGTGAAGCTGGAATGAATTCTTTGCATTGTTTCCCCGCTCTTTTTGAGACTTTCTTAGTAGAAAGGGGATTTTCCTCAAAGAAGGGGCAAGAATTGGTGGCCATCAAAAGACAAGTTCCGGTCACGTCTTGGTCACGTCCGTGTGTTCCCTCCGCGCTTGGCGGCTTTTTCAGGACATGGACGAAAAGGTTCGAAGCTTCATCAAGGCCGAGGGCCGAAAGAAGAAGAAGCGCCCAGCTGAGCCCAAAAAGGGGGGCGGAGCGGAAAAAGATAGCGTGAAGCGTGAAGAGAGCGGATTTCCGCAGGTGATTCGTAAAAACAGAGTAACGCTGGGACCTGGGGGGCCTGAAGGTCTGAAGGTCTGTGTTTTCCGACACAACCGGTTTCAGGTCTGTGGCGTCGACGTATCCAAGGCTTTTGCAGCAGCGGAATATCAAGTTCAAGATGCTTCAGAAGCTTCTTCAGCAGGCGATCCTGCTCACTTCTTTGTGCCAGAGTTCAACACTACCACAACACACACCGATTGCATTGGAAAAAGATCACGTCCCGAACGTTCCCGAGGCCAATGCGCAGGCCGCGGCCTCCGGCGGTGCGACCTACGTGCCCACGGCGCCCGAGACCACGGAGGAGCGCGCGGAGCGGATCCAGAAAAACCTCGACGTGGTGCAGGATCGGACGCGACGTCTCAGTCGGGAGCTGAGTCGAGGAGTTGTTGGTTCGGGTGGATCAGGAACCTCAGCTTTTTGCTGCTGCTGCTGCGGTTGGTGTTGGTGTTGGTGTTGGTGTTGGTGTTGGTGTTGGTGTTGGTGTTGGTGTTGTTGTTGTTGTTGTTGTTGTTGTTGTTGTTGTTGTTGTATTTGTATTTGTATTTGTATTTGTATTTGTATTTGTATTTGTATTTGTTGTTGTTGTTTTTGTTTTTGTTTTTGTATTTGTATTTGTATTTGTATTTGTTGTTGTTGTATTTGTATGTGTATTTGTATTTGTATTTGTTGTTGTTGTTGTTGTTCAGTATATGTTATAATATGATGGTGTACAGGCAGAAAGCTGTTCAAAAAGTATCAAACGTGGAGTCTATGTTTCTGAAGATGCAATGGTCAATGGTCATGCGCTCATTTTCGAACAACATTAATTCGGATCATAGATTCATAGAGAGGCTTTTACTAATAGTGGTTAGTTCATGGATAGAGGATAATAGAGGGAAAAAAGAAGCAAAGTCAACAACAAATACTCAATGAACCCTTCTGTCCAAAGGACATCCGAACGCAACATCCATTCCCAACGACTTGGGCCGCGCCGCGCTGCCGCCTTCGAGGTCAACAGCTGGAGTTCTGGGACAACCGGATCGATCGAAGGCGCTACAAAGCGAGACGACCACGGCGGGACGTGAAGCGGAACACCACGGAACACCGGGAGAAAGAAGGAGGTCACCGCCACGAGTCCACCTTCTATCGCACAGTTCTACGGGATGGTCCGGTCAACCTGATGGCTCAACCGGTTCCAACAGTCGGACCACGCGAACCGGCCGGATCGGTTCATCGCGCGCGCGCGCGTTTGGGGGGAATTCTCTGGGTCGTCAACATCCGCCCTTCGGTCGGTTCCAATGGTCAGTTCGCTGTTTGGTTGCTGGTCGGCTCGGCCCCCCAATTCGGAGATGTGAAAAAGGTCGGTGGATGGGTGACCAAACAAAGACGCAAAACTCGTGATCTGGAGGTTTGAAGGCGAAACGTGGCATGATTGGTCCAATGCGCAGGAAGAACGCGATGGAAACTGAGAAGAAGAACTTGAGGTGGGGTCTTTTCTGTGTGCAGTGAAGGGGGGGTTCCCCTTGCGTATGTGTGTGTTGGACATAGTTTTGAGATGGTTGTTGGACTCGGCAGAGGTGACACGTCCTCAGCCAAGACGTTCCAAGACCGGACATGAAGTTGCCAGACGAAGCACACTGCAGGGCATATCCAAGAGAGGTAGCCAGTGACCGTAAATAGGACCGTAATCTGGGGTACCTATGGGACAGGCTAGTTCGGGTCCTTCAACCTCTGGATATAGGGGAGCGTTGGGACGTTCCTACAGATGCCAAAACGCGAAGCGAAGTCAAAGACTCTTTCCCCGCTGACCGCTGACCCTGGCAGGAAAGAGGAGCAGAACCTCGAGTGGCTTGGTATGGTGAACCTCGAGTGATCAGAGTCTTCAGAGTCGATGTGAAGCACAATGATGCGCCTTCTACCTCGGATGGACAGACAAGAAGCCAACAAAAAGCTAATCGGATTCAAGGTGAGACACTGTTGGTCATAATAATTGGATGCGGTTTCGATAGGGATCAAAGAGAAGGGAAGAACAGGGCACAACGCTAGTTTCCTTCTTCGTTGCATGCCTTTCGTCGACCCGAAACACATCAATCAATCAAGCCTTTGATGTTGTGCAACGAGGAAACGACGGTGGTTTCTCCGGAACACCGTTTCTCACATCTCTTCGCCCAAAAAACAATGAGCACTTCCTCCGTCTCAGATATATACAGTGGTTTGGTTCGTCCCATGGAGCTGGACCTCCCGCCCCTCTGCCACCGTTCTTCTTCCACTGCCGAAACGCTCGCCGTTCGGCGCCCCGAACCACCGAGGCATCCGCGGGACGAGGAGGCCTCCGGCCTCAGCGAGAGCTCCCAGGACGTGGGGCGGGCTCGGGTGGAAAGGGGGAGGGAAGGTGAAATGCGAATGGTTTGGGCAAATTGGGCTTTGAGTGCGAAGAAATGTGGGGCATTTGGTTTTGTGGAGCTGCAGTTTTGGGGTATTTTCACCGTTATCTATCGTCGACATCTTGGCTATGGTGTGTTTGTCACCGGAATTGGTTGGAAGACGAACAACGGACTTCGTGGCACGTCTTCATCCAATCCGACACCGTTGGCGACGTCACGTTGCGACGGAAAGATCGAGGCGATGAAGGCGACGGTTTTTGCAGGTTCAACTCAGCTCAGTGGAAGGTTGTGTGAGTTCGATGTCTTTTCTGTTGAGATGCGTTCTCTTAGACCCTGCAGTTGTAGATCAAGGGTCCATTAAGGTGTTACCTGTATGACTCGTATGACCAGTTACTTAGATCCACACACATTTCGCCTCCAGCTTTGGTCTCTCCGATCTCGATCGTTCTCGTCAGGACACACCTGAAGCTGATCCGCTGGACATCGATTTGACGCAAGAGAGCCTGGCTGGAGGTGCGCGGGTTTGCCCCCCCGCCCGCTCCGCCCGGCGGCTGCGAATCAACTCATCGACTGAGTGGACGGATGGACCGACTCCGTATAGCTTCAAATATCGTCAAAGCATGGATGTACCATCTACCCATAAGTCTTCTACATGTATATAGATGGTGCTTTTGGTTGTTGATGTTTCATAGCAAAACATGATCCAGAGCAGCAGCTTCCTCCTTCTCATCCTATTACATCTACGGGCAACACCTGACATCTACTGCGCACGCGACTCAGCACATGTGTTTTCCTCCAAACCCTCTCACCACCGGGGGCCCGGGCGGCAGGGGCAAATGACCTGCTGAGCAACAAGAAGGGCCACGTCATCGCGAAGAAATACTCCCGGATGATGCGACCCACGGTCTTCCGCAAGTCCAAGGTGTCGGCAACGGAAGAGGAGGATCTCAAGCCGGAGAGAATGCCCCTGGCACTCTTTGGAGGCCTGGCACCGGGCGGATCCTGCATGCAGGTGATTTCTCCTGCTCGAGCTTTAGCAGACAATCAACGGGCGAGTTCTAAATCATGTTCCTTCCCTGTCATGGCTCTTTTTTCTGTTGGCTACGATGCGAAGCTCAAAACCACTTGGTGGCCAGGTCAAGCAGGAAGTCACACAGAAGGAGCAGCACACGATGGCAACCTGATTGCATTGGGCTGCAAGGTTATAAGGTTCTATAGCACATGGCAACAGTATTTGAAACTCAACCTTAATGCGATGGCCTCCAACCTAATAGCGGTGGCCTCCAACCCAGAAGCGATGGCCTCCACCCTACTAGCGATGGCCTTGGACGTTCGGACTTGTTTCAAGTCACCTGGATGACTTTCATCATGCAGATGTCAGGGTGCAGCAGGATGCAGATCAATATCAGATGATATCAGATGCGCTTGATACAGAAAAGCGACTCGAGCCCATCGATTGGGACCCGAGGTGGGCGTCGGAGTTCTGGACATTTGACCGTGGAACACCCGAAGAGCAGGACGCCGGACACACCGGGCACGGTGGCACACACATCTCAACCGGATGGGGTGATTCATGAGCACGGTTACAAGACTTGGATTGGTTGAATCAGCGAAAAAGTAGCACCTCAATCATGGAACAGACCTTCCTACACCATTCCAGACCATTTCAGACCCGATATGGTTCATGATGTTCATGCTTCTCAGATGTGCTTACGTCCCTTGCCCCGCACCGGATCCAGGAGGAGCAGCACAGCTGCTAGCCGCTCTTCATCGTCCTTCTCGGCTGACGAAGAGGACCGATGACAGACTGGACCCGTTGGAGTTCAAAGGTACCCCAGAAGCCCAAAACTAAACAGGCAGAAGATGGGTTGTTTGCAGAGGGACACTGGTGCGTTCCAGTCTGGACGCAGTCTGTGGGGCCTTGTGCCAGGAGGTGGATTTGGCAGATGGGCCAGGCAGAGATTGGGTAGGGAGTGTGGTCGGGAATGTTCTCTTCCCTGTTTGCCTGTACGCTGTGGTGAACTAGTGGTCGACTGACCGCCTCCATGTGGGAGTCGATATGTTTGCTGTAGATCGATCCATGTAGGGTATGTAGGTTCCTTCTCTCGCAGTTCCATCGTTAGGTCTGTGAATCAGGTTGGAACACGTGGGCTGACTGCAATGTTGCCTCATACAGAAAAGCACGCACGATCTGCAAGAAATTGAAACTCCAAGGATCTCCAAGGTATTTTTTTGGATGTTTTGTATTTTTTTCACTGATTTCCAGATGAACATCTTGGAAAAGACACACCGAAGTCAAGGTCGACCTGATCATACCAAAAACCCGACTCAAAGAGCTTTGCGAAAGGAAGGACCCGACATCCGGGTGGAAGCTCCAGGCGCGGCCTTCGATCAGCTCGTGCGGAAGCTCTCCAGACGCGAGAACTCCTCCTTCCTCGAGGTGACCGTCCCAGTTCGGTTTCGTCCCAGTTTTGGCACGACCGGAGGGGGGCTTTCGCCCTGGTGGGAAGATGCCGTGGCGGTTCTGAAGATTTCGGGAAAGACCAACAGCTTCATTGTGTCATGTGGTGAGAGCGATGTTTGTTATCTTCTTCAAAAAGGGATTGATGTTGGTTGCCTCCAACCCCCATCCAACCAAAACCTATATATATATATTATATTATATATAAATATAGCATGCAGTGTCTCAAAAAAGCCAAACGATAGCTCCCTTCGCCCCACCGATCGCCACCCGAGGGCATTCAGAAGCTCCGTCCCTCGGCGCGGCACTACACCCGCGGCACGCGTCGGGAAGGGCCCGGACAGAAGCGCCTCGGCCCGACGTGGTGCGGAGGGAGGGACTCTTGGGACTTCTCAACACGCGTAAAGAAACGAAAAGATGGGGTCTATGCAGGAGAGAAGACCCACGGGCTCGACCCGGGTTGCAGGTCAAAGACCACGGGGGCTTTTTAAAGGGGGGACTTGGAGGTGGTTTGAAGCCGCGTGGGTGAAATAGGTGGGTTCTTTTGCTTGGGGCACTTGGGTGGGGCAGAAGAACATGTAAATGTGTGTCAAAAGTGCGGCTGAGGCCAAAGTGGCAAAGTCCATGTGGAATTGACCGTTCAAAGGTGTTCAAAGCAGAATGACTGGCGCTTGGTTTTCGGTTGAAGGTCCAAGTCCTCTTTTTGTTTAGCACGGAAGTCGCTGACGTGGCATGGGACGGCCATGTATCCAACGGCACGCGGTGCTTGGCACTGAGGAAGAGATCGAAGCGACGAATTTCCATCCAGTCTTTCGTGGACAAGCTTTCAGATCAAGGTGGGGTTCAGAACTGATTCAGACCTGCCGGACGTTTGGAAACGACCTTTTCGAAGACAAAGTTTCTGACTAATATGTTTAGCTTATAAGATGTCAGCAATTTGAAAGCCCTGTTCAGATTCAGATGCGTGATGCGTGTAAGTCACGGAAGTCCTGTGTTGTCCTGTGCACGAAATCAACAAACACCGGCACGGAAAAAGAACCCGTGACGTGTTCTCTCCTCTGTGTCAAAATCCAGATCATTGTAGCTTTGAAGCCTCTGACTCTTAAGTTCGGAAGAAAAAAAGGACGTCGACGCAGCGGGACGTTCGTTCTTCGGTTCAAATCCGATCACCGCTTCTACACGACGCAGCTCCTGATTCACGACGGCCCAGCGCCGAGGAGGCAGCAACGGGTGGTCGCAGCACGTCGGTGTTTTCGTTGACGGTCACTTGGGGAAGAGACCAGCGATGAGTGGATGAGAGTAGCCCATCATGAGAGTCCATAGGCTGCGAAACATCAGAACCAACAGCGCCAACCAACTTGACGAACCGAGACCAACGACGAGGCGTTACGTCGACCCGAGCGCCCTTGGCGGCGAAGGGAGCGCCGATGGTCGATGGTCGGTCAGCAGGAGCTCGACCTCCCACAGCAGGGCAGTCGACGCCTGACGCAACCACCTGAAGGTGCCGGTCGGAAATGTGGTGGAGATGGGTGGAGGTGTGATGGCCTTGCAAGAAAAGGATGGAGAAGATGCTGTTGGACATCATCACCTTGTATAGCAAAAGGGAGAGGATGGAGATTTCATGGAGAGAGCTCGATTCATCATGATTCATCCAACATGACTGTCTTTCCTCCATTCTGAGGTCGAACTGCAATGGACACTCGCCCTTTTCCATTTCGATCCCCCCATCCAACCCCCGGACAGTGACGCTCCGTGACACAGCGGCCCCGGCCAGGCCCCGGCCGCAGCACCTCGCGGGTCAGCAACGCCTCCATCGAGTCGCGGCCCTTCTCCGATCGAGATGGAGGTGGGATTTTCGGGGCGGGAGAGGTGTTCAGTTCTTCTGATTGAGTCCGTTTGAAGCAGAGATTGAAACCGCAGAAAAAGAGACCATTTAACGAGACCTCGATACATCAGGATGTGCCAGCACCCGAAAGCAGCATGGCTGACACGGCCCGCCAGCTTCGCTCGCTGTTCCTTAGGCGACATCCAACGCATTGTGCAGCAGGCGATGAGGAAGATGGAGGAGTCCAACGAGGCCCGTCCGAACCGTTTTCGAGGTCACCGAGTGACCGGTGGCGGTCTGTGCAACGGAGGTCCGGGATGTTCAACCCGCCCATCAAAAGACACCTTCCAGGCCTTCCCAGGCTTTTCAAAGAGGGTGTTTTTTGTTCCTTTTTCCAAGTCAGACCATTCTTTGAATAGCCTTGGACTCCTAGGGACCAATTTGCTTTACTCCGCAACCAACACCACCGAAACGAGGGCGCCGTTCGACGTTCCTGAAGCCGAACTCATGGCTGGGAAACCGCGACCAGGCCCAACAGGTGGATGTGGTGGAGTGGCTACAGAAGGCCTGGCATGTGGAAGACTGCCATGGTTTTGGACCTGTCCAGTGTTTCTGACGCAGAGCAGGTTTCCAGGTCACAGAGCAGGTTTCCAGGCAAAAAGCCCCTGTTGAGAGGTGAGCAAAGGACCCGTCCTTGAGGATGTTTCCTGGGTAACCGGACGGGTTTCCTCACGCGGTTTGGACCACGTCTGTCTCGGGACGCCCACGAACGTTCCCTTTCGCCCACGAACGCTTGACCCGACGCAGTGAGGATGCGGTTTTTCGGTCGGGGAAGAAGAAAGGACCCTATTTGACCCTCATGTTCTTATCAAATGGCGAACAGGAGTGGCTTACAGAAAGTCCCATGTGAAGATCGAAATGAGGCGAATTCAGTGGCACACAGCACAGAAGACACAGATCT